TGTATGATAACCCTGATAAAAGTTTCACGGTTTTGCTGTATTGTGATAACTGCTCTTAAATATATTCTTTGTACATTTTTCCCTTTTAAACGCACTATATTTTAATTTGAGAAACATTTATAATTTTATGAAGCAGTGAACATGTCAGGCTGAATCGTTCAAATTAAGTGTTGACTTCTGCTGTGTTTATTTATTTCAAAAACAGATTTTTTTTACAATTTAAAACAGCATCTTTGGAGATCATTTCTGCTGGATATACTGTTGTCCTAAAAAAAAAAAAAAGTAAATAAAAAAATTGTACTCGTAGTACTCTTAGAAACGGTATTGCAGAAAATTTTGATGGTTTTAAAACCTTGACTTTTCCTTGAAAACGGTTAGCGTCCCATGTCTACTCGCGTCTCGTCACAAAGGGGCAAACAAAACTGACGTTTAGCCTGTAATCCTTGCACAACCTACACTTTTATCTGTATTCTTTTGGTAGTACCCGAATTAAACGTGAGATTTTGGAAACCAGATCTAAATTTAGCAGGAAAGGTCGGGTCGGGTAGAAAATGGGGCGGGTCGGGCAGTAGGTTAACACTGACGGGAGCGGTCGGGTGTGGAATAAAAGCTGGCGGGAGCCGAACTAAAAATTCAGTCCCAGAACCAGTGACCTTGCTGCCTACAATGAACATTATACAGTGTTGTTTATTTTACATTTAATTATTCAATTTGCTTGAATACTGTTAGACTCTCAAAAAAGCCATGAAGCATTTGTGTTCATCTTGTGATTTGGTTTATTACATTTTATACAGATGCGCTTTACTAGAAAAATCATGCCATTACTATCTGAAATTATCCTAAAACCATGAATTCTTTCCAAATAGAGCTAATCATTTCATCTGCTAAATTATACTTGATATCGCAATATGTGTGTTATGTATTTGTGTTTTTGTGCTCTGCTTCTCTGTGTTTCTTTCTTCTCTTTCTCGCTCTCGCTCTGTTCTCCCATATCTGCTCTCATGTATTCTCAGGTTCCGTTCATTGGTCCATTCAGCTGTCAGTCATCCCTCCCCGGTTACGTCACTCTTACGTCACATCCAATAAGAAAAGACCACCCGTGTTAAAAGCGTGCGCCAGACCACTCGCCTTCTCTTTTTTTTTTTTTTTTTTTTAATGTTTTATTTATACATTGTGAAACATTACAAAAATTTACAAAGACATAATCATGTAACAATATGCAAATATACTGAAGAGTATTTTGAGCAAATAGTAATAATAAAAATAAATAAACAATAATAAATAAAAATATGATAATAAAAACAAATAGATAAATAAAATAAAAAACAACAACACTAGTGCAATCTTATATACATAAAAAACAAGTCTACAATGTGTTGACCAGAAGTAGTTTCCCATAAAAGCTGGGCATTAGGGGGTGGGGACTCAATCAGAAGGGTCAAGCTGAAGAGTTTGGACATATTTGCGAAGGGGTTCCCATAAATTAATAAAAATAGTGCTAGTTCGGTGAAGAGAGTACCTAATTTTTTCTAATTTCATAAAATAAAGAACATTTCTTATACAACAAGAGTGAGAAGGAGGGTGTGGGCTCTTCCAGTTCAGAAGAATTAATCGCCTAGCCAGAAGAGTTAAGAAAGCTACAAAGTCTACAAAATGAGAGGGTAAAGTGTGGTCGGGCGGAAGAACCCCAAAAAAAAAACCAATAATTGGACATGGTGGGATATCAACAGTGTTAATAGTTGATAGCGAGAGAAACATTTGTCTCCAAAAGGAAAGCAGGGAAGGACAGGACCAAAACATATGAAATAAAGTAGCTGTGCCAGAATGACACCTGTCGCACTCAGGGTCAATAGACGGATTGATGCGAGCTAGCCTGGTTTTGGACCAATGAGCTCTATGCACTACCTTGCATTGTATAAGCCTGTGACGTGCACAGATTGAGGAGGAGTTAACCCTGTTCAAGACCGCTTTCCAAGTCTCCTCTGTAATCTCAATTCCCACTCGCCTTCTCTTGCTTGCATTTTTCTCTTTCGCTGTTTTGTCGCTTGTTTGTATTTACCGCGTGCGTTTTGAAATAACCCGTCTAACTGTGTGTTTTGTTGTTGCTTGTTTCTGTGTGCACGTTATCCGTCCGTTATTCGTACATTGTTCTTAGTTTATCGTTGTTTACGAGGCTTGGACGAAGCGGACAGGTAAGAAGGTCACGTGACATACATTTCGCAACACGTAGGACTACTCTGCTATCTAGTACACTAGGTTAGGGGCGAGCGCCACTCCTTGTACTTTTTGGATAGATAGATAGAGTAGATAGTCAGGACTCGGAAGATCTTTGTGTGTTAATTATACTGTTTTTCACACAGTTAGTTAGCTAGATGCTTCTGGGAAGTTAGATTTAGTTTGGGTTTTGTTCTTTTCATTTCTTTAGCGCCGCCTGCGTCCCTTCTGCCAGCTCTCTTGTTTTTCCTGTCTTTATTTGTTTCAGTGTTGTATATATTGTAAATAGTATATTTTTGCTTTACTTACTTTTCTTTATTTTTGATTAATTCGTTGTTGTCGTTCACTTTGGGATTGTAAATAAAAGCACACATTTTTTGGCATTACTTTGGTTGTCTTTCCACTCATTCACTGTTTATATAAATATATTTTAATTAAATAAATGTCAAACCCCACTAGACTAACATCAGGGGTTTGTAACGTGTCACAATTAAATAAAATATTGCGATGCCATTGCGAATGGCATGATTTGTTGCTGTTTTCAGACCAGCGCAACCCTAATTGTCACGTTTTGCGCCTCGTTATTTAAATCTCACATTCATTTGCGCCACTTTGTGGACTCATGGGTGTGCTGGTCTATAAAGGAGGTGTGTTAAGGCGCATTGTTGGTGCGTTGCTATTCTGAGGAACTGAAGGAGAGGTGTACAGAGGCAGGTCCAAACGCTTACACATTACTTAATACACACATGATGTACAGCAATACACAAATGTCTTTACAGATGAAAATAATTAAGGATTAGAATTATTGATCCTTGCTCCTTACTGAGAGCTCTCCTGGCAAAACACATATTGCGAGGGCTTAAACGGAGCAGTGGTCGTAATGCTTAGAGAAAAAAGAAAGACAGCTGTGAAACAGAACCAGCTTTGTCTTTTTGTTGGAAACACACTTTAGATCTTTTTAAGGTGAGAGGTTTTTGAGTTATTGCCGCTATAACTGAATGTGTCAGGAATATCAAAACAAAACCAACTGAACCGCGCTCATTTTTGGCGCCCCCTGGATGTACAGCGCCCTTAGCATTTGCCTATACTGCCTATGCCACGGGACGGCCCTGAGTTGGCTTCTGAGTGTTGTAAATACTCGCGCTCACCTCCCTCACCACAGAGCGCGTAGGAGATCAGTGACGTCTGTACATAATAACCGGTTATGATTATTACTAAACCGATACCGAATTGTCCGCTAAAAACCGAAAAAACTATTAATTTTGACACCCCTAGTGTTTATGTTCTTGGCGTCGCATACGTCGTGTTTCTTTTTTCACATTGTGATTTTTATTAGTAAGTTTAGAGGGAATTTGGGGTCCGTTCTTCGTACCTCGCTTAAATGATCTAAGATGATTTGGCAGATCCTGGATCTTTTAATCTTGATAACTGATCTCTCGCTAATTTGGTTCTCCAAACAAGTTCACGAATCAGATTAGAATATCTGGATGAACTGATCTGAGATCGCTGCGTTTGTTGTGAAGGACAGATCTATCGATCCTCGAAATCATGATCAGCAATGCAATGATTGGCTGACGGCACAGCAGCGTAATGACATCATCTGATTAATATTCAATTATCCATGTGAGCAAAATTACATCAAATTAGCAGAAACGGTTTGTTAAATTTGACACGCAATAACTTTACACATTTGTTGTGAGCTGCAGGCTTTACACTTTCATTTGTCAAGACAAGAGTATTCATCATGTATTTCAATGCAAATCAATGTATTTAGTTCTTCATTTAGAAAAGATTTTCTTTATTATAGTAGCCGTTTTTTAATCGGTGTAAAGAATAACTCGTTGTTTCCAAAAGCATTTTGATATTGGTAAAGGCGTCTGCAACTTTTGTGAAGCATCACTGGCATATTAACTATCAAAACATGTTTATGACTGCATAAATGTATTATTGCTTTTAAAAAAAGTCACATATTGTGCATTTCTATCATACTCAATTTGTACTAATGCGATCTAAAAAGTTCATATTAATAAGTTTTCTCTTTGCACCACCAGGTGGCAGTCTTTGCACTTTCATTTCGAGGGTGCAGATTGCATACGTTTTATTAATATGTATAACTTTATTTATTTTATTAATGACTATAACTTTTATATATATATAGTTAAAAAATATTTACTATTTTCCCTAAGTGTATATAACTACTACTGTAAGAAAATATCAGAATTCGGTACATACTTTCTGTATTATCTTTGCTTGAACTGAGCCGATCTAATCCTGTTTATATGAATTGAACCTGCTCCCGATCAGGTTTGAGCTAGCAGATCTGTAGCCATGACAACAACTCTCGGATCAGCTTTGAAGAACGAAACGATCCTGGATCGTGTCAAATCGTCAATATCCAAATCCAGCTTACTGAGTAATCCACGTACGAAGAACGGACCCCTGGTTGTAGTTTAGATGGCTTTTTGGTTTTGTTTAGTTCTTTTGCTTTGGCGCCACTCTAGTTCCTTTTCCCCTGAAACTTTTGGTTTGATTGTATTTCTGTTTGTTTTTTTATTATATAGACATTGCACAAAGAGCACACATGTAAGCCTCTCTTTTGTTGGCTTCATCCTTCTCCTCATAAGAGTAAACTAATTGTAAAATGTGTGTCCTGGTGTATTTTCCATCCATCTACTGAGTAATAATCTAATATTCTAAATGCTACGTTTACTCACGCTAGACAACTTCTTACATCGTAACATGTATTAATGTGTGTTTGTCTATGTGTGTGTGTGTGTGTGTTTCAGGGTGAGGAGGGGCCGCCCAGCCTGGAGTACATTCAGGCCCGGGATCTGTTTCCCCAGAAAGAGCTGCTCAAAGAGGACGACACTCTACAGGTCAGTGTTACAAACACAAGCTACGTTTGAAGGCGTGAGACGCGGAGCACAGACGCCGTTGATTCTGGAGGTCATTAATAATATAACACTAATACTGAAACGGTAATGGGTTTTAGAATGACCAAAACAACAGTTCAGATGTTCTCCAGTGCTCAGCCTGATGCTTTATCCACTCACTCTCATTTTCATCATCACGTGATCTCTTATAACAACATCACATGACCTTTTTTTTGATGGGCATACTGGAATTTGTTCGGTAAAAGTGTTTGTGCGCATCTTTTCTTATTTAATAATGTTTATCCTACACACACACACACACACACACACACACACACACCTGCCCTGAGTGTGATGGTTCATGGTACAATAACTTTTACTATTACTTATTTGCAAACTACTACTACATACTATATCTATGTACTCTTACATACGGTATCTCTATAAAATATATAAAAAATTTGAATATAATATTAAATAAAATTAAATAAAAATAATTATAGATTTTATTATTTAGTTTAATAAATTATTATTTTTTTATATTTACAAAGTTTGTTTCTGCATAAAACTGACAAATTTGGGAAATATGGTGATGATACTTTGTGTAATATCCAATAATAATAAAATTTGTATAAATAAATAATAATATTGTTGCATTTAGATTAATAATTGTATTTGTTTGTCATTTATTTCATTATTTTTAAGTAGTTTTTATTTTGTAAATATTGAATTAAATTATAATAAGTTGATCTTGCGTCATTTTTAATACATGCATTTACAAAATATTATAAATCAAGTATTTTTACTAATATGTATGTTTTATGAAATGATTTTGAAATCGTTTAAAATAGTATTTTCTACCTAAACTACTCACTTGCTTAATAATAATAATAATAAAGATAATAATAATAATAATGATAATAATAATAATAATAATAACAATAATAATAAACATGTAAAGATAATAATAATAATAATAATAATAACAACAATAATAGTAATAAACATGTAAAGATAATAATAATAATAATAATAATAAAATCAGTATTAATCATAATAATATTATTAATAATAACAAAATAATATTAATTATAAAGATGATGATGATGATGATGGTGGTAATGATAAAAATAAAGATTATATTATTAATATCTTAATAGTATTAATAATAATCATAATAAAAAATAAAGATGATGATAATAAATATGATGATGGCGGAAATAAAAATAAAGATATTAATAATATAATATCAATATAATAATAATAATAATAATAATAATAAATATTTAAATAAAGATGATGATGATGATGATAACAACAACAACAACAACAATAATAATAATAATATCAATATTAATCATAATAAAATTATTATTAATAATACAATTAATTATAAAGATGATGATGATGATGATGAATAAAGATCATGATGATGATGATGGTGGTGGTAATAATAAAAATAAAGATTATATTAATAATAATAATAATAATAATAATAATAATAATAATAATAATAATAAATAAAGAAGATGAAGATAATAATAAAAAATAATAATAAGTAGATGATGATGGTGGTGGTGGTTGTAACAATTATAATAATTATTATAATTATTATTATTATTATTATCATCATTATTAGTACTTTAATCAAATCTAATCAAAGCACTTTTACTTTATTAGTATTTTATTTTATTGTTACATCATCAGCAGCACATTTAATATAAGTGAAAAGCTTTCATGCTGGCTCCAGTGCAAAATGCAACGACATACTCCAAAAGTAAAACAACAACAAAATAATAATTGTTGTTGTTGTATTGTTATTATTATTATTATTATTATTACATAAGAAGATAAATAGTCATATTTACCATTAATAATGCTTAATACTGATGAACTTGCACTAAATAGGCTAGCACACATTACACACAGACACTTACGCACACTCATATTTGTCCTCTGCGGTGTGTGAGTGATGAAAGAGTGGTGAAATGGAAATGAACTGTGCTCTGTGTATTGGTGGGCAACAGATGTGGAGGTGAGAACAGAGAAATTCATCATAAGGACACTGAACCATCCGGGACGTCCAGACAGCAGACCAGACGCCTGAGACTTGCACTCTCGCTCCATGACTTTGCACAAAACATATCAGTTTAGGGCTGCACAATATAGTCAATAGATAGTATTTGCACAATATATGCGAAAATTAGGGTTATCGCCATAATAGTATGTGCAACATCCACATCGCAGAGAAATGCAAGACAAGGAAAGGGAGTTTCAGGATTGAAGGACAACTTTGATTGTAGGTTTTAATCCACTTTCATTGTTGACTATTGTATATATTTATAATAATTTTAGCCTTTCAGTTTTATGCTGTTAATTATTATTGATAACATTTAATATTTTTTCGCTTTTTTATGGTTATTTTATTCATATTAGTTTTTCATTTATATATTATTTTCATTTAATATTTTTTTTGCTTTTTACGGTTATTTTATTCATATTATTTCTTAATTTATATATTATTTTTTATGATTTTTTTATATATTCGTATTTTTTATTTATATGTAAAAATTTTTGTTATTACAGTAGTAATTATTATATTATACATTTTGCACATGTGTTTATTAAATATTTAATTTTAGCAGGTGATATTTAAGTTTTTTTACTGTATTTTATTTATACATTTTAATTAGTTTGTTTTATTTTTGTAACTTAAAATAAATGTAATATAATATTTTTACCATTTTAATAATTATTTACATGTTTAATTTTTAATTATTATTTAAATTGTCTTTTATGTTTATATAACTTTTATTATTATTTTCATCATCATTATCATTATCATCTTTGCAAGTCAAACTCATAACACATTATGCATAATAGCGAAATGTGTAAATATTATAAAGTTGTGTGTTTTTTTTTTCAGTGTTTATTTTTAAATATCATGGGGCAAATTGAAGCAGTTCTCAGTTTGTCTGACACACTTACTTGCGTTGTTCCTGCTGGAGGGAATGATTGTGCAGACGGCTTAATATCCCCAGATACTCACATCATTTCAGAGTCTCTGCATGAACTATCAGAGCTAAACATCTCCACTGTGATTTACTGAGTTATCATAACTTTATTTTTAATTTTAACACTTGACAGTACATAATATTAGACTAGATATTCTTCAAGACCCTAGTATTCAGCTTAGTGACATTTAAAGGCATAATTAGGGTAAAGTTAGGGTAATTAGGGAAGTCATTGTATAACAGTGGTTTGTTCTGGAGACAAAATGTAAAAATATTACTTTAAAATTAGATATCGAATAATGTAAAAAAGATATAATATAAAAAATTACAACTAATAATAATAACACTAATATTTTATATGCATAAAACTAAATTTAATAGTAATGAAAATATTATTTAAAATATAAAACATAATTACAATAATTTTATATAGCAAGTTTCAAGAATATCGGTTCATTATATTCATTATACATATGTGGATGGGGTGGATGGATAGATGATGGATAGACAGGCAGAAAATCGAATGGGTGGATGATTAAAGGAGAGATATATGGATAGACAAGGATGGATAGACAGGCGGATGGATGGAGAGAGATTGATGAATGAATGGATGGATGGATAGATGAATGGATGGATGGAGTGATAGACAGACGGACGGACAGATGGATGGATGGATGGATAGACAGGCAGAAAGAAAGAAAGTCAGATGGATGGATAATTGAAAGGTAGATGTATGAATAGACAAGGATGGATAGACAGATTATAGATGGATAAAAACATATGGATGGATTGATTGATGG